TTTTTTATTTTTTATTTAAATGTTATATAAAATTATTATTTATTATAAATTTTTTAATTGTTGGTCAACAAGTAGGCTTTGCTGAACACATTGACATGCGCGTACGGGCGTGGCATCCGAGCAGGAAAGCATATTTTGCTTATTAATTTACCCAAGCCCGCAAATCTTTTTTGTTCTTTAAATTAATGAATAAGGGGGGGCTATATTTTATTCCAGATTCATTCATCTCCATAATTGTTGCTTTTTGCATCGTATTTACAGTACGGATAGCAGAAATCGTACACAATTAGCATTTGGTGCTCGCAAATTGTGTGGAAATCAAATTGGCTAGTCATATCATTACTGAAGTGGTTTATTGAATCGGTTCTTTTTTGACCCCACAAATCGAGTTTTCCACCTGTTCTATCCTTCGTCCTCACACTTTCAGGATTCACCATATCACCATTGGTATAAGTTGCATTTCGGAATGATCTTGATCAGAATTTAATTTTTCTTTTCTTTTGCAGCCAAAAGAAAATTCATTAGATAAATTAATCAAAAATGTTCATGGTTCATAGCTAACATATCACTAGATATGTGACAATATTAGAGCAAGCGCCTAATTGTATAGAGACATAACAAGGGCCGAAAAGGAATTGCAGAGTACATCTCAACACAAACAGGATTGTTGATAAATTAAAGGAAAATTCTGAGCAGTCTGACAAACAAACGGTCGAAGTGAGTTCAACAAGGAAAATGCCCTATCCCCTACTCAATCACCGTGTATAAGAAGGTTCCCCGTCGTTGCCGTACAAAAAATATTTAGATATGCACACGTACATATTTATTTATTTATTTAATTCGTTGTATGCATATAGTTAAGAATTTATATAATTTAAAGTATTTTTTTTCAGGTATCTCCCTCCACATACTTCCCTTCTACCCACTAAATATCAGGAAAGGAATTCAGGGAAGGGCCAGGCAAGTGAAAATCAAGGGAGGAGCATTTTGGAGTGTCTGTTATTCTCTCAGCACTCATACTTGGCCATCTTCATTATCCTGGTTTGCATCACCGAAAGGGAAAAGATTAAGGAAGATCCACTCAACTTCAATGTGTTGAGCATCGCCATCGAAGTGATAAGGTAGGCCCCTTATGCTTACCTATTTTTAGATTCTCTTTGTTAATCAAATAAAATAATTTGGGAGAAATACCAACTGTTAAAACTTCACCCATAAAATTAAAACATACGTAACACTAATTTAGTTATAAATGTTTCAATGCATAATGTTATTTATATAGAAGTTAACTTCTTTTAATTTAAAATCTTCAAAGTTAATGCCTTCCAAAAAAATAAAATAAAAAATCCAAAAATAATTTTGCTCTCCCTAATTTTCAAAGAGCCACAACTACCTTTCATAATCCAAAAATCACCTTCTTCCCAAAAGTCCACAAGCCAATTAATCCCAAGACCAATTAACAACACGTACGAAATTATCCAAGAAGTGAAAACTTCCAACCATTTCCCTGCCTTGCACTGTCAACCACTTATATAATGCCTCCAAGTTTCACTTGGATATATAAAAATAAAAAATAGGTGCCTATTGGACTAAAGCCCCAATAGGTCCCTATTGTGGTGCGGTTGGCACAAAAATTGCCCATCGTGCCGCAGCTCTTGCCCTTGAGCAAGGCTATTTGCGACATAGTGAGGCTACCACAATCACACTGCAAGTGTAGTGGGATGTCCACTAACTCCCCGCAAACACCACCCCCCTTTTCTTCTTTATTCCAATTTCATCTGGAGTTTTGTTTTGCATGTTTCTGTTTTACACTTTTCTGTAGGTCAGTGATGGAAATACCCGTGCACAGTAACATCGTTTTTTCACTTTCCTTTCATGTTTCTTCTTTATGATAATTTTAGTAATTAATAATAAATATATAAATAAAACTAAAGTTTTATACAAATTCATAAATAAGAAATTAAATATATAATCATGAAATATATAATATTCAAGTTGTTTAATACCACTGTGCAAATGAGATTTCACTGCATCAAGCATCCATAATGATAGCCCTTAGCAATAGAGGCATCGCACAAAAGTTTGCCTAACAATGAACATAATGATCAGTATGACAAATCCATATTATCTCTCTCGTGTGTACATTCCAAACTTTCTTTTCCATATAATAAATAATAAATAAAAATTTATATTCATTCTGCAGCGCTTACGGGAATGTTGGCTTCTCAACTGGTTATAAGTGTAAAAGCCAAGTGAAACCTGAAAGCTTCTGCATAGATACCTGGGCTGGATTTGTAGGGAGGTGGAGTAACATGGGAAAGTTAATCCTCATCGTTGTAATGTTCTTTGGAAGGCTAAAGAAATTCCTTGTGAAAGGTGGTGAAGCCTGGAAAGTCTCTTAGTTAATGCTGGATCCAAAGTTATGTCCAAAAAGCTTGTGCAGCCACCAGGCTTTTGGTGTTTTCTGTGATGTAAATTGGTACTGTATACCACAAGCCAAGAATAATCCTTATGTTGTATTTTGAGTTTTTGCGACCTCTTGGATTATAAAGTGTAGTAAAGCTTCTCCAAAAATAGTATCTTATATTCTAGAGGCTTTCATATCCGTGTTTGAGTTTAATCTTATGATATGTTGATTCTTTCTCAACTTTGTTCAAAAGTAGCACCTCAGGTGTCAGTTCTTCATTGTAGTTAGGCACCAAAATTTGAATTTGAACTTTATCTTTGACACCCCAATCTTATCCATTTGTTGCATCTCTTTCTTCTTCTCTAAATTTTTTATTTTTGTCTTTGGTGCTCCAAGAACCAAGGTCTTTTTCTTTAGGAATCAATTGTTTGTCTATAGACTTGTGCTTGTTGACTCTTTCTTCTTTGTGCCTTATGTTTTCCTAGAATCAATTCTTGCTTTTTGAGTTGTCGATTTTTATTTGTTCCAATAGCTTCTGTATTTTCCAAAACTGACTTTTCCTTTTAGAAAATTGATTCCTCTTATAAGAAGAAAATAAATTTTGCTTTTTGTATAATGGAGAATCGATTCTTTACTTTCAAATGGTTGATTCTTGAGGTTGGTAGTTTAGAGTTCGAATTTGTTTAAAAGCATTTTCTTCGCATAATCAACTTCAAAACTCTTGAGGATTTTCTTCAAGTTTAAAAACATTTTTTAGCATTTCCAAAGCATATTTAAATCAATCAATTTTGTCATTTCAAAATCAAGGTGAAGCTAACAAAATTGATTGTGCCTAGCACCACAAATCCAAGCTTAGTAGCTTTCATATCTTGGTCATCCTTTGTAACACTCTCAATTTTTTGATGTAAACTAAGAATGATTTATGAAATATGTAGAGTCTTAAGGACTTTGATGATAGGATATGAATGCCTAATGTTTAAGAGTGTACATATTGACACTTAAGCAAAACTTTGAGGAACTATGTGATAAATCCCATAATTTGAGGTTTTTATTAAGATTTGTCATTATCTTTATGAGTTTGTGTATGGGATTAACTTAGATGGATGATTTAAGGTGTAATATCAACCGAGAATAATATTGGAATGTTAAACTTGGACTTTGTAGTTTTTGGGAAGCTTAAAACTGCCGACATGGGTGACTGTATCGATACATTCATGGCAGGATAAACAACAAAGGCCCAAGAAGAATATTCTATTGATACATTTGAAAATGTATCGATAGATTTGGTCAAAGATGAACATGTATAGATACATAGTCCAAACATATTAATACATTTAAAGTAGAAAACACCTAAGGCCATTCTGCCTAAAATGTATCGATATATTCATTCGAAATTAGGGCAGATGTATCAATACATTGTCAAAATATATTGATACATCAAAGAGGAAAGGCAAAATAAAAAGGGGATTTTGAGCCATTTCGTCTAACCCTTTCTTTCAGCTCTTTCTTTCCCTTTTTGTCTTTAGAAACTCGAAGCCTTAAGGCCTTAAGCAAATTTTTGAAGTGATTTGAGGGTATTTGGAGCTTGGGAAACCATTTTGGAGGTAAGAGTTAATGATTTTACCGATTATTTTCCACTTTAATCGGTTAAAAGCTAAGAAATTTGATTTTCTCCAAATTTGGTGATTTTCCTTTTTGGCTTGGATTGGGGAATTTGGAGATAAGACTCATATAATCTGATTTCTAAGGTATGGGTTTAGCTCATTAATGAAGGATTTGAGATTAAATAGTTGGATTGCTAAGATTTAGTTAATTGGTGAAAAGTTGGCATTTTTTGCAGGTCAGGAATAATTAATCTTTTGATGTTCTGATGTGTTTTAAAGGGGAAAAAAAGTTAAATTAACTTATTGGCAAGTTAGACGACGATTGGAGTTTAAGGATCGGAGCTTGGCTGGGAGTGCCTCATATTGTCATTGTGAGTGGGTTTAGTTTAATATGCATGTAAAGCATGACGTATGAAAAATGTGTTACATTGGTATTAGAATGAAATATGTATGCCTAGACAAATGAACCTAGGATAAAGAACAATTTATAAGTATATGTGAATTGTGTGTGATTGCTTTATGATGTGAGCCACATGGGTGGTTTATGTCTAGACTAGGACGTTTAGAGGCTATGATGAACCTTAGGAATAGATTACCCTAGGTGAATGATATGTTGCAATGATTTGATTGAATAATGCCTTGGAGACTTAGAGGCTATTAGAACCTAATAGAGCTTAAGACGATTAAAGCTCAAGAAATGTGAATTAAGGTTTGATAAGGAAATTGTCAATGGTAAAGGCATAATGGCTTTACTTGTAGATTTGTGTTTCTATTTGAGAAATGAATTTTGGACGCTGATCTAATTTGAGGTTAAGTGGATTTCTGTCCCTTTGTGACAATTTGTGTGCTTGTAAGGATGATGGTAAGTAGGGACGGTGGCACTAATCTCGCTTGTGATTCTTAACTGTAGTGTTTTGATACCATTCGTTGAGATTACTCCAAGTGATGCAGATGTCAGGAGTTTACTCCGGTCGATTATTTGTTTTTCGTCAACTGTTTTGACATTGTGTGTGATCTGTTCTCTACCTATTGCTTTGGCACATGCATGATTTGTTCTCCGACTATTGCTTCAGCACGTGCATAATATGTTTCTCCACCGATTGGCCACTAAGCGTGTTTGACTATGTCCAAGAGAGGACCACTTGTTGATTTGATTTGTATATAATGTGAGATAATCATGGAAAGGCTTAGATAAATGTAATATGATTACGATATGATACTTTGATGACTAGAGTGTGCTGTGAAGAATGATTTGAATAATTTTTGTTCAGCTTCGAGAGTAAGCCTAATGATATGTGCAATAATCTCTAGAGACATTGAGGATGAGGATATTCCCTCATGTTGGAAATATAGGAATAGTGATATGCTTTGTACTTGGAGATGTTTGCTGGAACATTTAGTTGCACGAAAGGTGCATATATTTTATATATATATTTCATATAAACACATATAAGTTAGTTTATCTATACCATTCATTGAGTATTATAGTATTCACCTATTTGTATACCATGTGCAGATAAATAGGCCATAAAGTTGTGTGGTAAAGGTTGTCCAACGATAAGTCAATTTTGGCATCCGATAGGTTCTCCGTTTTGGTCAATCCATTGAGTCAGTTAAAGCTTTTAACTATAGATAATGTGTGTAGGCATTGAGTACCATGTTATACTATGCGTAAGTACAAACCCTCCTTGATTGGTCAGTGTATGGCCTTTGACCATTTCTATAAACTATGTGCCAGGGATAATGTATTTGCGTTGGTGTTTGAATTTAATATGAATATTTGATTATTAAATCCCTTGGCTTGTGTTATATGATTTTGGACTCTGAGGCTTACTAGGGTCCGTGGGCTTGTCTGTTAGGCTAGTGCATCATTGGTCATGGCCCCCTGATTTGGGTCGTGACAAAGTTAGTATTAGAGCATTTAGGTTAGAGACTCCTAGGTGAAATTGTGTCTGTTAATAGAGTGTCAGGGATTTATGTAGAGTTTTGCTCATGGCTGGTGACTGCAACACTAATTATGAATAAGAGGCTGCATAAACTCCCAAAGTTTTAGTACGCCTACTTTTTGGATTTTGGAATTTTGATTATGAACATGGTTTTGCTTTGTCTTAGTACAGGATGCCTCTTAAGACGAGAACTACCTTAAGGGCCACGGAAGAGTGAGATGCCTTGGATAATTCTACAGAACCACCATGAGTGTCCACGTCAAAGAACCGTGGTAGGAGTAGAGGAATGAAACACACTGTAAATACGAAACCAAGCTATATGTACAATAGTGA